GTCTAAACTGGCCATAACCCTTTTTTTTTTTTTAATTGGTGAATTAATCATTGGAGTGGATAACCATTTTTCCAATTATCAGTTTTGCAGCCAACTGAGAATAATCAAATCCTTATCAATCTGTCTTTTGCTGGAGCAAACGTCATCTTCTCAATCCCATCTTACTTAAAGACAAATACATCCCTTTAAAATAAAGTATGGGGCAGACAAATCCATGACCATAAAAATGTCTCGTCATTATTTGCTGGTCGTTCCCACTTCATGACTATTTATATCTCTCCAATAAAATCTAATTTGAGGACATCCAATTTTGAGCGTGCAATGAAATATATTTGATCAACTCAACACAACAATAAAAAAAGAATTATCTTGTGATTTTATGGTAGGAAAAAAAAAATAGGGCAAAAAACCCACAAAACAATTGAGTAAATTTTAAACACTAATAATTGGATTGGATGAGCGTCTCCGTCTGAATGGATGACCATTTTTCCAATTATTATCCTTAATCCAAACTGCTGGCGGCTGCTGTAGTCAACTGAGGATAATCAAATCCTTAACAATCCCGGCAGCGGAATGTCATCTTTTGCTGGAGCTAACGTCATCTTCTCAATCCAATCTTATTTAAAGACAAATCTATCCCTCCCCCCTCCCCGCCCCCCCCTTCCTTCTCTTTCCCGAAACAAATCCGTGACACTGATACAAGTAAAAAAAAAAATGAAGTAGAGAATTCATGGACGTTGCAAAACCAGTTACGTAGGAGCTATTCCATCGAAATAGCTGACAATGGTTAATTTAATTTAGTCTCGAAAAAAAAATAGATCAATTGTCTCGTTATTATTGTCTAGTCGTTCTCTCTTCATGATTGTATCTCTCTAATAAAATCCAATTGAGGACATCTAATCTTAAACGCTCTATGAAACATATTTGATCAACTCAACAACAAAATATAAATCTAGAGTCGCTCGACCTAAAAAGAATGAAAAGAAAAGAAAAGAGAAGGGAGGTGGCAGCATTTGGACCAAACCGCCGTAAAGGGTAAAAGGGTCAATTAATGGAAAGTGTGAGCTGGCACTAGCAGTACTATAGCCGCCTCGCCGGCCCAAGGGACCTTTCAAGTCCAATTCAGTATCAGTCGTTGAATTGGAAATATGAATCCTGAAACAACTGAAAATTCTTCCAGCATTTGTGGGCGCATGCTGTTGCTAGTGGGTAGCTTTTCCCTAGTCATCCTATTCCTTTTCCTCCCCATGCTTCAGTTGACTATTCCCGTCACTGTGTAGCTCAGCACAAGTAGTACTGGAGTTGGGACAAGGACGCAACTGTCTCCAAAAGTTGACGCTCATGATTCTCATTCTGCATTCTAGTAAACGTCCAATCTTTGGGTTTTACTGATTTTTAATCATCAACCTTATTCGCACTTGTCCTCATCTTTTCTGGGCTAAGGCTCTTTTTCTCAGCTACGTAAATCTGACTGATTATTGCCCCGAGCATACGCTCTCCTCTGCCTAGTCCCGCCAGCTTCAGGTGTGTATTTTGATTTTCGTTCTGTTTGCCATCATTCTTAGCTAATCTTTTTGTTTATGGCTTTTGATTTCTTGATTGGCTAATTCTCAGTGTTCTTATGTGATGCATGATTGGAACCTTCTGTGCCTTAACTTGAGCTTCGAATACGGAATCTATTGAATGAGTGGATTCGATTGTTTTAGAGTGGTTAGCCCATCAGAAAATACATACTACTACTATTTTGCTTTTATGATGCAGAGTAGGGGAAAGAGAGGTCAGTGAAGTTTGCGGATAGAGGGCTAGTGTTAGGAATAGATAGAGAGGAGGGATCAGGGAGAAGAGTATGGAGAGGGATCTGAAGTTTTTCAATAAAAAATTGGATTAATCTTTCCTACCTGTCAGTGTTGGATGAATGATAACTATGCAAAATTTGAATTTGCAATTCAACTTTTGCACACATCATAAATTCAACGCTGATAGTGTATACGTCAACGTAGGAAAGATTTACTCTAAAAAATTTATGAAGTGAATCAACATTTAGGCTCAAAATTTGCATAGTACCACATGTTAATGGAAAGGAACGTGCTTTCTCTAAGGTTGAGGATAATGGAGTATAGAATTTGTATTTAACTAGGAAGAGGTTCCTTGAGAAAAACAAGGGCCTATGATATCATGTACTGCAAAAGAGGTCTCACAAATTAATGGCAGATTGAATTAAAAAAAGAAAAACAGATACAAAGTTTGTTCTAAGGGAAGTGTAACATCGTACTAAATCAAAGAATTATAAACCTTAAGTTGTCATCAATATTCTATTACTGTGTGTCTAGGTGCTGCTATATAGTCCCAGTTCAGGAGATTAATGACTTTTGTTTTTTATAAATGGTTCATATACTTAAGAATTTTTGGTATGAAAAACTAAATACTAATATATTGCCAGTTGTACCAACAACAAAGGCGGGACTTCTAACCACCACTTGGACTATGCTAATTAGCTGAAGAAATTTTGATTACTTGCAATCAAATTTGCAGGTTCAAGTAATCTTTGAGTTCTGCCTTGGCTTTGCTGCTGCAAAAGCTTTGCAGTAGTCTACTCTTGTGGCAGGGATTGGTATCCAGAAAGCTATGGCAGAGGATGACTTGTATACTAAGGACGGGACAGTTGACTGCCGTGGTAATCCTGCCAAGAAAAATGAAACTGGGACTTGGAGAGCCTGTCCTTACATCTTAGGTACCAAAATAATTTGCTTTTCATCAGGTTTATCAGAGGTGAAGATTGATATTTCAGGCAAAACTTATGCTCCTTTGTTGATTTTTACTGTAGGAAATGAATGTTGTGAAAGATTGGCATATTATGGAATGAGTTCTAATCTGGTGCTATTTTTCAAGCATCGACTTGGACAGCACAATGCCACTGCTTCTAAAAATGTATCTGATTGGTCTGGGACATGCTATATCACACCCTTAATTGGAGCATTTTTTGCAGATGCATATCTTGGAAGATTTTGGACAATTGCTTGTTTCTCAATCATCTATGTTCTGGTAATCTTTTTTCGGCTGAAATGTATATGCACAAATTCTTTTGCAACTTAGGTAGGCATGACTCGCGCTAAAGAAATTAGATAAAATTACATGGTACACGTAGGTAAGAAGTTAACGTTAAAGCGGAGTAACTTGGGGCACAACCATTTCTTGTCTGGTCTACTTCTGCCTATCCTTGATTCATGGTGTATTTTGGGCCACATCATCAATGTAGAGAAATGCAATCTCTTAGTTCTATACATGGTAAATTATCATCAAACTCCAGCAAGCACAATAACCCATGTTTAGTTCAATAATTAGACAGATGAAATGTTCTAATAAAGAAATACAGATTTTATAAGAAAGAAAATTTAAATGATTTCAAAATTTCCAGTCTTCTTAATACATTCTGATCTGGTTAACAAGCTTCAAAAATGATAACCATTTGATGTGCAGGGGATGACATTGTTGACATTATCAGCCTCAATCCCCGGTCTGAAGCCAACCTGTCATGGAAAGGAATCTTGCCATGCAACAGGAACACAGAGTTCTGTTGTCTTTTTAGCTCTTTATCTCATAGCATTGGGAACTGGTGGTATAAAGCCTTGTGTATCTTCCTATGGAGCCGATCAGTTTGATGACACAGATGAGGTTGAAAAGAAGCACAAGGCTTCTTTCTTTAATTGGTTCTATTTTTCAATCAACATTGGTGGACTTATTGCTTCATCAGTGCTGGTCTGGGTACAAGATAATGTGGGTTGGGGATGGGGATTTGGCATTCCAGCCGTAACAATGGCAATTGCTGCGGTTAGTTTCTTTTCAGGTTCTCGATTGTATCGTAACCAAAAACCAGGAGGAAGCCCTTTGACGCGCTTGTGCCAAGTGCTTGTTGCATCTTTCAAGAAGTATAAAGTTGAAGTGCCTGAAGACAAGTCTTTGTTGTATGAATGCAAAGATACTGAATCTGCAATAGAAGGAAGTCGGAAGCTTGGGCATACTAGTGATCTTGTGTAAGCACCATATCATCCTGCCTACCTCGTGGTTTTAAACTTGATTGATAATTTTTGCTTGCTTTCAAGATTGAGTTCAAAAGATATTCAAAGGATCATTAAATGGTTCTTAGCCAGTCATCTATCTGATGGTACTTTTTTGAAGTATTGAATGGAAAAAGTGGAGTTACGTTGGATAACTATGCAATTTTCAGGGAAAAAATTGATTATATACATACATACACACATATATATTCATATACATATGTATGTATATATATAAACCTATATATATATTCATATATATATGTATGTATATATATAAACATATATATATATACACACATACTCAAATTTTCTAAAGAATTAAGAATTTTTATTGGGTAGTCATTTTTAAGGTTTCAGAACTTCTTCTTTTAATGGCTAAAAACAAACAGTCTCTACCTCTCGGAAACTTGACAAGAAAGGAACGGACACTGCTTAGGCATAACACCTTATTCATTTGGTCAAAGGCATAACACCTTCTTTTGAATAGTTCTATAGGAATCATCACTTCAAATGTAATATAAGAAATATATTTGCAGTTAACACGTCTTGTGTACTTTTACAGTTCTTTCAAAACCAATGGCTGAAATGAAGCCTTTCGTGATTTAATCTTGAACAATCTCCTTTGCCGTGTCAACTGCTTGCTTGCCCCTTGCATTGTTTCAAAACTGAAATATTGTATAATGTTATCCTAAACAGTTTCTTTGACAAGGCAGCCGTTGAGAGGGAATCTGACTATAAAAGGGGCTCTGTAGATCCTTGGAGACTTTGTACGGTGACTCAAGTTGAGGAGCTAAAAGCCATAATACGATTGCTTCCTATATGGGCAACAGGTATCATCTTCAGCAGTGTGTATGGTCAAATGAGCACCCTGTTCGTCTTACAAGGAGAAACGATGAATACTTATGTGGGACATTCTACCTTCCAAATCCCGCCTGCATCACTTGGGATTTTTGACACCCTGAGTGTCATATTCTGGGTTCCTGTTTATGACCGAATTATTGTCCCGGTTGCCAGAAAGTTCACAGGTCACAAAAATGGCTTGACTCAGCTTCAGAGAATGGGAATCGGGCTCCTCATATCGATCTTTGCCATGCTCTCAGCAGGGATCTTGGAACTTGTTAGATTACGCTATGTGAAAAGACATAACTCCTATGATCTTGAAGAGATACCCATGTCAATATTTTGGCAGGTGCCTCAGTATTTCATCATAGGTTGTGCAGAAGTTTTCACATTCATTGGACAGCTGGAATTCTTCTATGAGCAAGCACCTGATGCCATGAGAAGTTTGGGTGTTGCTCTCTCCCTGACCACAGTTGCCTTGGGAAACTACTTGAGTTCCTTGCTTGTGACCATTGTGACAAGAATTAGCACAAAGAATGGAAAACCTGGTTGGATACCGAATAATCTTAATCGCGGTCACACCGATTACTTCTTCTGGCTCTTGGCTGTGCTAAGCGTGCTGAATTTGGGAGCTTATATCCTCATTGCAAAGTGGTACACGTACAAAAAACCAGTTGGGACTCTTCGCTGATGAGGTATACAAGGTGGCAAGTTTCCTCACTGCAGAAAGATGCATCCGTCAGAGTTGTTGAGAATTTCAAACATATGTTCTTCAATGACTGTTTGTTTGCATAGATGAAACAGTTTATTGGGATATCACAAATTACAAGATTACAGCAATTTCTTGACAGGTTTGCATGGCAATATATGATGTAAAACAAGTGGTTGGGTCAAAGTAGACTTTTAGCTTGTTTTTACTACATTAAATGGTCCAAGTCAAAAGTTTCCTGCTTAACTGTTATCGTTAGGGAAAAAAAAAACAAGGTTCTACTCCTCACTTATTCCTTAAGCAACACACATCTTTGAAGGTCGTCAAGGCCGTAACCCAGTGATTTTGGAATTAAAAAAATAAAAACAATGATATAGGGCTAACAAAAGTACGTTAAGACTTGAGGTATATGAATAAAGATTCACTGATTACGTGGTTTTTTGGACGTGACTTTCAAGATTCTTGAGGTAATTAGGCGCTGCTTTGAAATGAAATTATTCATGACCATTTTTAAAAAATAATAAAAATAAAAATTTCTAGACCAATTCTATCCTGAAAGACCTAATTAATTTCTGACAATCTTAAAATATTGATAGGCTAGATACTCACTAGACAGCCCCCGCGTGAATGGTCCAGCGGCAGCGCCTCTCACCAGTGAACCTTGAGGTCACAAGTTTAAGTCTCCGCTCCGCTGGATTCCTCCGTGCACTTAACGCGTTCGGGCCGGGTTGGAGCGCCGGGTCCGGGTCGCAGGGGATTAGTCGGGCCCCGTAAGAATTGACCTGGACATCCCTGTGTCGAAAAAAAAAAAAAAAAAGATACTCACTAGACTCTTACCCACGAAACCCAAAAGCAGACCGACCGTATATACCAGTTGCATTATTCAGCTTTCGCTCCTGAACACCCCGACGCTCTCTTTCTCGAGCTCTTTCATCAATGGTTCGCAAACGATTTCAGGACACGAGAACAGGTAAAATGCAAATTTTCGTGCCAATTCTCTTTCGGTACCAAGATATTTTTAAAAAATGAAGCAGGTATAAGTTCCTGCTTATTTCTATGGTTTCATTTATTATCTGTCAGTGTACATGGGTAATTGACACAAGTCGTTCGACGAAAAGCCTCAACCAATTGGCTGCATACTTCTAATCTATGCATGAATCTCTTTCAGGTCTGTTTTACGCCGAGAACTTTTTGAAGAAAGTTGGGCTAGGAAAAGAAGACTATCACTTCTGGAAGCAAATAGGCAAGGCATTGTTGTGCACCTACACGCTTTTTGGCGTAGCTTGGCTGTGGAACGAGACGTCACCGCTTGGCTGGTGGACTTTAAAGCCCCAGCCTAAGGAGGAACAGGAGCTAGCCCATCTCTACGAGCGCCCAAATTTTCCATATCCAGGTGACAAGGAGGCAATGGAGGAGTTCATTGCTAAGGGTGGGATGATTGGAACTACAATTGGGCCGAAAGGCATCATCGAAACAGATAAAGATTCGATCAATTTTCAAAAGAATTTGCAGGACAAGAAGTTTGAGCAGGAGGCTTTTAAGCTGTGGATGAGGATGAAGAATGAAGTCGTATCTGAGCTTCAGCAAAAAGGCTTTGATGTTGAGTAATTATTGCCTGTGGCATTGCTCATTTTACATATTTGAAAAGTCCTATGTTTTCAGCCAATGCTCCTCAAGAAAACGCTGCTTGAAGCCTTGAATTTGAATTACAATTGTGTTCATTGAAGCTTTATTTGCTCGATTTGAGTATTTCGTGCTTGTGATAAGATTGTCCCAGACTACTGCATTCGACTGAATATGAATTATGCATAGCATCTTTGCGTACATATATGGCCGTGCACAAGAATTATTTGGGCACCAAAGAGCATTACGAGTTTCCCTAATGCTTCATTTCTTTTGCGTGTCCTCCATCCTACATAAGAAAACCTTGCCCAATTCTAGCATATGCATAAGTTGAGCTCATTGTGGTCGATAAGTAATAGGATTTGTGCAGTTGCAGGAGCAATCGCACCATGCATTTGACAGCTCGAATCAGGCTAGCCATCAAATGCCCTCTGCGACAACCGCAATGAACCGGATCCTAAGTGGTGATACATTCTAATTCATAGCCTTATCCCATCAAACTATTCGTGTATTATTTTACCCCTCCTATTGATCTTCAATCCTTCTCATCCAACTCCAAACAGGAAATAAGTTCTCAACATTAGTGTGATTGAAATGGGATGTGAGGCAATACAAGCAGATAATCCAAATCGCTGTTTGGTATAGAAGATTCATACTTCATGATAAGTGCATTTGGTATGTTGAAAAAACCTATCCAAAGAAAGGAAATACTTACAGGTTGGCAGGTGGTGTACTCGGGTAAATATGTGCTATACTCAGGCTGATTTTCTTATTTCACTCGCTAATTTCTACGCATCATTATATAAATCACAATGACCACAAGGCACTTGGATATATCATCGGGTTTATTAATGGACTCGTAGATATGCAAATGATAGTGCTTTTAAAATGACACTCCTCTTGATTTTTTTCAGATTTTTTTTTGATAAAAAGCAAATTTCATTAATGAATTACTGAAAATCGTCTAATACGATTTGATTTACATTGCTGTTCTAATGACAAGTTAAACATTCTCATGATAAAAACAAGATGCATTGCAAATTCAATAAAAAATTTTCAATTGACACGCTGAAAAGGTCAAATAGATTGTCATTAACAAATAAAGAAATGTCATTAACATCTCTCTTTTAAAGCAGTGCCATTTGCAGGTGTCTTTTGACTCTTCGAAACAAGTAAATCATACAGTTCATAAATCATTTGCAGGTGTCTTTTGATTGACTGAAACAAGTAAATCATATAGTCCATAAATAGGACAATATTTACGACTTTATTTTATTATTTCACAATTACCCACAGCATTAGCTCATTAAGTATTGATTCGTCGTCAACAAGCTATATGAATCAAACTAAAGCTATATGAATCAAACTAAGCGTAAGCGGGAGCGAGCGCAAGGGAATCCCCTGCGTCACATATAAATAAGGTAAGCCAATTTTTCCTTTAATTTAACCTTCCATTAAAATACATTTTACTTCTACTCTTTTATCTTCTGCATCTTTTAATTGCTCAAAAATTTTCCTCAACCCTCAAACTTTACGAAAATTATCTGAAAACTCGGTTATTTTCTTGAATATCGTGATCATAACAATTTCAAGACAACGACTCATTCGATTCTCATATGGAGATTTCATCGATCAGAAAGTCATGAAATCGCAATAAATTTGCGGTTAGGGCCTTGAGTTTCTTCATCTCTTTGGAGAAAACAGCTGAAAAATCATAATCTAATAGAGAACCTGCTATATCTTGAATGGGAATCGATATTATATCTGATTCTTTTGCATTGAATCTTCAACTCAGAGAACCGAATCATCTTCTTCTGAAGATTTGCGTTTTCGGAGGAGAGAACGAGATCAGAAATCTACCACAGACGCTAAAAACGAATTATAACAGTCAGATTCCAGCTGTAAAACAGAGGTAAAGACAACAAGTAAGAGGAGAACGTCAGATTTCAACGACATTACAGAGGAACTGGGCTATTACCATTCTTCATTGCAGAACCCGCAGACTATTCTCAGGCGAAAGGTTTCTGTTTGTATTGGAGAGGTAATATTTCTTTCTGCTGGTATTTTCGTTAATGTCGGGTAATATTTGGTTGAAACGACTCGGAGAACTCTCTCGATTATCTTTTTTGTATTTTTGTTTCGATATTGAATTTGAAAAATGGCGGGCTCGAGAAAAGAAAGAGGAAAAACAAAATTTATCACCGTTCCTTTTCTTTTTTTTTAATATAAACTTTTCTTGTTTTATTTACTTGGATTACAGCTCTATACTTTGCGGCCTGCGGAATATACAATATAGGGTTGTACTTGGAGCTGGTTCAACCAATAAAATGCCAAAATTAGCCTTGAGTTTCGGATGACTTTTGCAGAGCAGGAACGAATCTTAGTGTGTTTGGTCGGGAGATTATTTGTTCAAATTTATTTACTTATATCACCATTACAATTTTTAATACACTTTTTGATCTTCTCAATTACTTTTTTATCTCACATACATCACATCACAAAAAATATTACATTAAAAATATCTCAAATAATTTACAATCCAAACACACTCTATTATATAATGGTAGAGACGAGAAAAATAGATGGAGTACAAGGTTTCCTTAGCGGGCTTGCAAGATTTTCTTATTCTTGAATTTTTTCTGAAAAAAATCACAACCTAAAATGTGTTAGATTTGGTAACTGAATTACCATATTATAAATGTATGTTCTTCTAGTTTGGTTTGCATGATTGAATTTTTGGATCAAAGGCACTTCGGTCAATTTTAATTTTCTAATTACTGAAATTTTCTTTTTTTTTATGTTTATTTTTTGGAGATATAACTATTGAAAGTTGAAGAAATGTACTCCTTCGTCTTCTTCATATGGTCCATTTCCTAGATTGCAGTTGCTATCATATTGAGCATTATAATTTTATTGTAACTTTCGGTCATCAGACTTACAGAATTTCTTAAGAAATTATTGTTTTCCTTTGCATAATATTCAGAGATTAGAACGCTCTTACTTAGGGAGCAAGAATCGAGTGCTGATGTACACGTTGACATGTCAAATTAATCGACATGCAAGCAAAATATGCATTTACTTGCGACTTTTTTCCATGAATATCATGTGTCTTACATCTCCTGTACGTTTTGCTTTGTCCTCCTTCGCAAGTCTGTAGAACATTGCTAATCCTTTATTCTTTTCCTATGTTTCTGTCGTCTTGTACGCAGAATACCAGGATCCAATAACTTTTGCCATCTGAACCAATTCAGTCTTTCATCTCCTGGACTTCATCAGGTACATTCGTCAGAACTACGAATTACAATATTTTGATTCATATCCAACCGCACGGATCTAATTGGAACATCTCTATGTCTCACACCCTCGTTGGTGACTTGAAATGACCAGCATGTCAAGTAAACAGAAGCGAAAGCGACTACTCAAAGTTGAGAACCCCAAGGAGTGCAAAAGGGATTGGATAAATTTTATTCAGCAAGAGCGGGGGGTAGTCCCTTATATTAGGAATGAATCAGGAGGTCCAAAGGTAATCCCGGAGGTAGCTAACGAATCAGAGTACGAGGAAATCCCCAAAAAAGATCCATTTCAAGCTTATTTGCCTATCTTGTCCACTAAGGACCAGTACGCCAGCAACCCAAACAATCGAAAGTGGTTTGGTACGAAGATATGGTCAAGAAATGAACCAAACCAACCTAGCCAAGAGACGAACAACAGTTCGACGCACGAGGGGGATGCTTGTAATTGCCAAATGCCTGGATCTGTTGACTGTGTTCATCGTCATATGGTGGAGGAAAGAGGAAAACTGAAGGCTGAATTGGGGCCTGCTTTTCAAACCTGGAAATTTGATGAGATGGGAGAAGATTCTACTGATTCCTGGACTTTAGGGGATATGCTTAGGTTCAACTCTGTGATGAAGAAAAGGAACCTTCCCTCATCAACGCGTAAAACTTTTCTGCAGCTGGCCAGTCAATTTCTGCCCAACAAAAGTAGAGCAAGCATAGTCAGCTACTACTTTAATTTTTACCTTCCCAGCTGGAGAATTCGCAAGAGAACCAGGTTGAACCGTACTGCGGCTGAAATTGACACAGACGATGATGATGACGAGGTTATTGGAGAAACCTCCAAGGCTAATGGTACCCAGAATAAGTACTTGACAGGGAAGCGATGAAACTCACGAGGCAGGGAACAATCCTCCGAGTGGTTTCGCACATAACAGGCTGGAAACTGGATACTTAGTTTGGAGTATACTTTTCTTGTATTGTAGTATATAGACAGAATGTCATACAACTGCCCATATTCTCATAGCAAAGAAGAGAAGTAGTGGCACATGGACTTTGACACAAGGGTGCAATTGGTGCAGCTGATCTTGCCAATTCAGGAGAAGTACCGGAATTGTTATTACTAGAGTTGTTGTACTTGTTACGGCATTGGTCCAGGAAATGTAAATCTTATGTAGCTGCTTTGCTGGTACGTGTTTTAGTACTTTTCATTTCTAGCAATCTTTGGATGATACCTTGTGCTTTAATAGAATGCCCAGAATATATTCCAAGGATATATAGAAGAATTATCTAAATGCCCAGAATATATTACTCGTATAGTTGTTGAGTGATCCAATTGGATGAATTTTGGTTGGTTCCGAACTGATTCATGGTCGAGTCAGAAGTTGATAAGAGGCTTTATTAGGGGTTTGGTTCTCGCTTGACATGTTAGTGTCAAGTCTGAGAGAAAGAGTATTTCTTTGTTCAATAGTCCAATTAGTCAGTACAGTACATAATCTGAAATGTAAACAATATGAGGCATAAATTAAATCTGATCATGATAAATAAATTTTGAGTAGAATCCACAACTACCATGATAGGTTTAACTAATTAAACCGTATAAAAGTATAGTGACTAGCTCCAAAAACCCTCTTAAGTCATCAGATTTGAGCACAATAAACGTTGTGCCCTACAGTTTTCCATGGATCTTTTGGTTGGTTGTGGTTAATAGATCTTCATTTAGTGAATTGGCTTCCAATCTGTATATTGGCTTAGAAAGTTTCTCAGATTTATTCAATGAGGTGAAATTTATATAGGTCCAAAATATCATCCCTGTTAATCAATTAAATATTTAAATTTACACAGATTTAATTCCCTATATTTTTTTTTTAATTTTACAAACCAATTCCTACTTTGCTTTTGATTCAAGAATGACAATTTTATGTGAATTCCGTATAAGAAAAACTAAATTACTTGAGTGACACGTATTAATATTACCAACAAGTGTTTTAATTT